CATGCAAGGTAGAGACGTAGAGTCGTCGCGGGACGCTGCGCTCTTGACTGTGTGCGCTATACGCACTCTGGCCCTGCGAATCGATATTGCTGTGTAGGCGGCGTCCGGGCCTACCGTAAGATTCGGGCCGCTTTCTGAGCAAGTTTCATACTTGGTAGACCCTCTTTTTCGCTCCGAACTTCAGTCGCTTAGGTAGGGGGTCTAAATTAGCATCGCCACAAAAACCCGGCGCCCATCTTTTTGCCGGGACGTGCTTATAAGCAGTACGCAGCGTAGTTCGGGAACAGAGAGTGGGCTCATAATTCAATCAAGGAGTCCACAGCAGCATCTGATATTTTCTATACTTTTACCAAGAAGATTGTTGAAATTCTGCTGTTCTCAAGATGGAGATCATGCTGCACAGGCCCACTCTTGCAATATTTCATGTGATTTTATTGTTGTAAAAATTGTGATATTCTCTCCATAGCAGTAATTGAAGACGAAGGATTTCGGATAGCGCTAGATTCTCAATAATCTCGTTGTTTTACGTTATCATTATTATAATTTTTATGCTTTTATTTTCAAGTAATACATCTAACCACTTCATTGGCTTTTTATAGTAATTCCACGAATTTTGATTCATCATCGTCGTAGAGCAAATGGTGACTACGCTACGTGGTGAGCAATTGTTTGCACTTATTTTTTGGATCCTTTGCCTTTTACGCCAATGCGTATAGCTCTTCTAGCTTGGAAACAAGATTGTCATTTTACTTTTTATGCTCTTGTTTATGATGTTACTAGTTGACTTACCCGGCTCCGCCCGGCCCTGTCATTATTATATTCGTAATCAGCATGCTCGATTACCCCCCTTTGCCAACTCTCAGCCCCGTAGCTCAAATTTTGCAAAAAAATCGATAAAATCGATATCGATCGATGACGAAAAGTGGCCTATGACACCCGCCGGGGTCCGAAGTGTATGTGTGCCAAGTTTGGTCCGGATCGGTTCAGAAATGGAATTTTCTATTCGGAACATACGTACAGACAGACAGACAAACAGACATTCAGCTTTATCTATAAGATTTTAGGCTGCCTTAACTATAGATTAGCTGCGCAGTTGCCTGAAAAATTGTTTACTTGGTTATATCCACCACTGTTTATAAAACTCACGAATATCATGAATGTGAAACTGACGAGACCATTACCATGTGTCTACAAATTACACCGACACATTCCGAAATGAAGTTTTCATATCAGATTCATCAGATTATATTGAAAGTTTGGTACAAATTGAACGACCTTTTCTTCCTTCACTTGAGATATAACTTTCTGTTCAACAAACCGATTCGTTAATTTTCAATAAGCTGATTTGAGAGGAGGCATTGTTCGACTTTGGCAAGAACAAAAAACAAAGCAACATCGCTTACTTTCACAAAATAGTTCGTCTCCAGAGCACACGTATTTCTGAATGCAAAGGACGAGGCGATTTCGATGACACACTTCAGCTTGTTTTTTCTATACATTTACAGAAGTTGAAGAGTTTTGTGTCCTGAAAACCTTTAACCTCAACAATCGTTTGCATTTCCTTCACCATTTACTTCAAGTTAACCCCAGATGGGTTGAAGTAAGTGATGCAACCCAGATAAACTATGTATTTTCTGAAAGCAGAAAACGAGATGGCCGCAACGATCTCCGCTGTCGCAGCAATTTAACTACAGAAGTTAATTTTATTAAAAATTTTTTTTGCCAACGTAATTTATGAATTGCATTCTTAGACTCAAAGTGTAGTGTGAGCTCTACTGAGTGAGAGCAAAAAACATCTTTAGAACAATCTTGCTGTCATCATTTGCATGGTGATCAGACTGTCAGTCAAATTTTCTATGGTTAACCCAGGATTTACGTTCGGGAAGGGGGGGGGGGGCACAAAAATATTTTTCTGATGAAGGTGCATGGCTTGAACAAAGCACTCCTAAAAATGTGGTACTCATAACCCTGAAATTTCTGAAAAAGGGGCATGGCGTAAGCCACCCCCCCCCCCCGATTTTTTTATAAGGCTAAACTGGATTTTTAAAAAACTAAAAAAATATTCGGTACGTCATTGTGCACTACATAAACCACTGATCCAAAACATATCTACAAGCCGTGTTGTTTACTGCGTAAACCTAGCTGATGCAAAATGAAGCATAGTCAGCTCAAAATTCCCTAAAGCAAATCGTATTTTATATTTTAGCATACTAGAAGTTTATTTTAAATTTTAGCAACTTTCTAGAAGTTAACATGCATGTTAATGCTCATTTCTACAGCATAAAAACAAAGCTTAGGTATTGAAGAACTTATTAAGAAGAGCATTATGATAGCCTCTTCGAATCAAGTTTAGCAAAGCCTTGTCAACGGGGACGGTGGACTTTTCATCGCAGTAGAGCGCTTTTGTGAGGAGAAGGGCAGAATTTCTGATGAAATAGGTTTTATTGATATTACATAAAGCAAAAAGCTTTGCCTTCCTACAGTTTTTCAATGGATGTAAACTAGTTCTGACCTGATCTATGATTTTTGAAAGCTGATTTTTTGTTATTCCAGCTCTGATATTTTCTGATGGCATACTTACAGTACGATACATAGTTCAATGAGCGAAATATCGAAATAGCGAAATATGTATCCAAAAATCAAAATGCTCATTTCTACATCCATCATAGCATAAAAGAAGCTTAGTATTGAAGAACTGAGCTTTTGGAAGTTCAAGCATGAGGCATAGCAGTCCCTCACTTATAGTAGAAATTTCTGCGTTGTATGTGATATTAGAAGCTTTGAGCTAGATTTCTCAGAAAATCATGGACAAAAACAACAAAAAAGTTTTTAAGGGGATTTTCATGCCAGTATGAAACAAAATTATTTTTTGCCAACCTAAGTGTGCTGAAATCACATCCTATAAGTTATGGCTGAGGTACACAATAACTTAATCAATAACAATATTAATACGTTGATTCGAGTGGAGCAGAGATCCGAATAAGACGACTTCATAAAATTTACTTTGACTCTTCAGTGCGCTGAGTCGAAGTTATGAAAATACCATACGTTTTTTTCATAGATTTGAGCCATCTTACGCTTCCTAGAAACACCTCCGTACTCCTAGTCGTTTTACCAATGTTTCGTGCACGAGTACATTGCACACTTCAGCATCACCCTGTCCTTGCTTGAATAAACGATTGAACACAGCTCAAGAGACGTAAAAATGTATTCAGTTACACAGCTGCTCCATGCTATGTGCATCAATATTTTCACAATTCCATAACAGTCATTTGCAAAACAGCTTGGAACTGCAGCAATTTCCGCTTCCGTTTTTTGTTGTTTTTTGTGCAACTATTTTTTAGTACATATATCAGCACTTTTATTGTGATGCTAGACTCTTCTAACAGTGAAGATTGACACCATGATGTATGGTTTTTCACACCATTTGTAGACTAATGATATTTTTAAGTAGCCTACGTTTTTCATGAACAACCTTTAAATTTGTTTCACGGTGAATTTTGTAGGACTCACCAAAAGGTTTTCAAAATTTTCATCAAAAGAAGAATAACCTCAAGTCCTCGAGTAGGTTTTGTGATGATACTGCATTTTCCATGGTATGTATTCATGGTGATCAAGCACATGATTTTCAAGTCTCTGAGACGAACTAACAATTTCATTATTGGTAACGTTTAAGTATAGAAAATGTGAGCAAAAAAAAAATAAAAAATATTGGATAAATAAAAATTAAAATTTCAAATAAGTTTTTTTTTCCCACGAACTGAGATTATGTTAGAGTCTCCATGCGAGCAAAGCATAGAAGTTGAGATTTCTGTCCTAATATTGCTCTCTCAACTAGTTTCTACAATATATACTATTTTTGTGGGAAATATTGTTGTGAAGCAAACGGCAACAAATTCTCATCAAAGCTGGTGGCGGAACAAAACAATGGTGTCTCATCAGCTGTACTATAGTCTTTCTTTCCTTAATCCATTGAGACACTGACTGTGCCTTCATTTTAGAATTATTTAAGTCTTCTTTGAATCCAAATTTTTCTAAAAAATTTCTGAAAATTTCACACTTCCTACAGCTGTTTTTGTGCAAGGACATTGGCTTCTTTTCTATAACTAGCCGTGGAAGAACCACCAGATTTTTGTAATTATTTACCATATCACTTTTTCACAAATGAGAGTAAAAGTTTTACATGAAGATGACAAAACTTTCCTAACCACTTCTGCTGCTCCGTCTTTGACCCTTTTATATTCTTAACATTTGAGTTGGCACTCCAGCAACAGCAACTACCTAAAAAATTGGTCTCAAAGGAAATATGATATTGTGCCGTTTAAAAATCGTTACTGGTACACACTTTTCGACTAGTTACCATGGAATGACTATGACTGCAAGTGCCCTTCCAAACTCTTTTATTTACTTTTCTTATCCTACTATAGGGAATTTTCAGGTGGGCTAAATCTATGACTCGATCTTTGCTAAATATGTGTACACTGGCGCTTAGCTCACCTCGAAAATTGAGCCCAGAGCCGAAAATAATGAACGCATACAAAACGCAAAAATGCCTAACTTGGGGGTTTCGCGCCCACATCAACCAGTTATGTGAGCGGAAAAGAAGAAAAACTATCATCCATGATATGGTTAGCAAACACCGCATGATCCTGTCGCTCTACCGGTTAGCTTTTTCATTGGTATGATTATGGCCACATGCCACAAAGCTTTCGAAAAAGCTATGATTAATTTTGAATATGAAAATAGCTAGAGTATGGTTTTGAAAGTGACCAGTGGACAGGAAATATGTCTAGTACAGTATCACTGCATGGCACATGGTTTGGTAAATATTGGCGGGAAAAATATTTCAAAGTTGGGTCAAAAACTGGCGATCGTAAGAAATAAGGGAAGAACCCTTGTACATCTCACCTCCGTTCTTCACAATGGTTGTACAATCTGTATGCTTGTATTCATGTATATTTCGAGGAATGTTCAAACGTCGGGAGGCATTAGTCACTTGCAGGCAGGAGGCGCGCAAAACGTGCGCCCATTTTAGTTGCGAGTAACACGGTGTGGCGGCGAGCGCGAGCAGTGCTGCTATTCCTGCGCCTATGGCTAGTGCGCTTAGCTGCAGGCTGTTGCTGCTCGCCTTAGCACTGCCTCTTACGCATGCTGGGTACGGCGTTCCTGCGCTACATATCTACAATGGTGAGTTATTCAAGACATTCAATATTTAAGAAGATAAAGACACAAAATTCAATGCTTCAACGACATTTGATCCATCGCTGTACCATGTGGCCACCGGTGTACCATGATCCACCTATGTACCATACTTCCTAGAAATTCAGTCGCACCTTCTTATAATTCCAGACGTTTGAATGTTATAAATTTACATCAAACAAAGCTATTATCGCGTCACTTGTAATCTAATATTCGTTTACACACCACGCGCGGTACTTGACGACTTGTAAGGTCGAAATCTGCTTATTTCCCTGATCTCTTCATTTTTCTCACCTGTTTTGATTTGTTTGGATAAGTATTAGGTAGTAGAACACATCGCTAAAGTTTGTTACATCAGGAAATTTTTTTCTGAAGTTTCACTAGCAAGGATGTCGTTGATTGCTGCGCTTAATGTGTAGACTCAATTTTAAATTACAACTATCACGAGAGAGGATTTGTTTTTTAGGAAATGTTAGTCCAAATTGGAAGCATTCGCTTGCGCTAGCCTAGCTCAATTAGAAGTTTGCTCTCAAAAATTGTACAGGAGCTGTTCAAAAATTCAATATGATTTAAAAATCGCAAGAAATTCCCACAGAAACTTGAACCCGGCATTTATAGGCCATATACCCATTGAACAGCCGGCAGCTAATGTTCCTATACAACAATTCGTTGTTGGACAACCGTACACTTTTGAGATTTACATGGAAGATGTGGAACATCAAGACTACATTGTTGATACCTGTTCTCTCAATGGGAGAACATTCATTGACGGTAACGGGTGAGTTGTTCTTTGATGTCTATTTTAAATAATCTTATGACAGTATTGCCTTGATTTAGATTTAGAGAATTTATGTTCGAACTTCCAAAATTGCATGCGGACTCCATCTCTGTCTTCTTACTGGTGCACAAGAAAATTCTATAGTGATGTGCGGAAAAATCAGTCCATATTGCAAAGATTTCGAATTGCTATTTTTCATATTTTTATTTACGAATTTTGGAAAAAAATCTCAAATCGTCTTTTTAATAATGAGTGTAAAAGCGACCCGAATATCTGATCGTATGATTACGGCCTAAAATCATCTTACCTTCTGTTGCTATTTGGCATGATGAATTGCTCGAATTTTATGGACCTCAGCTCCATCCCATTCTTCAAATCTTTCACTTCATATCTCTTTCTGAGCTTTTTTTCTAGGCTTAGAAATCTGTAGACCTTGTAATCAAGCTTTCGATTTTAGTTCCTCAGATAAAACTCTCCTTTACCTTCTCTCTATTTTTAGTACACTCTTTGCGGTCAAGAACGTGAGCTTTTCCTCAAACTGTCCAGCCAGCATTGTATCCTCGGACACATTGATATTTTATAGCGCGTACTATTTGATCGTCAGGGCAGGGGGTGTAGGGTAACAGCCAGCAGAGATTAGTCATGACAGGACATTACTTTTCCTGAACAAGAACTTTCGTCTCGAGCATCAGCCTAGGCGTGAACTTGAATGGAATGCGTCATGAGATTGTTTTGATAGGGAAAATGGGAAAATTCGGGAAATGTTTTCGTCGCAGTATAGTACAGCGGAGCACGAAGCTTCTAGGTTAGAAAGATATTTCGAAGGGTTCTCTACAAAGATTGTACTATGCAAAAGTAGAAGTTATGCATTCGTCTTTATTTTTAATTAATAAAATGTTTGCGAATGAAGACCACAGTGGTAAGTCACAAATTTAGTACTCCTGCGACTAAACGTATTGTGTCATATATGTCTATTAGTTTACTAATATAGTTATATAGAACACTCAAAGGTGCTTTAGATCCGAACTAAAAGTAGATGTGAAATACAGAACTTTAAGTATAGATCACAGCTTAGGCAGACTTGCAAGGTAGAAACTTTCATATCATTATTTGAGCAATTTTATTTGACTTCAACTCTGAAGAGTATGAGATTCATGAGGGCATAAGCAGGAAAATGCCAATGAACAGGATCGTTGAAACACAAGTTATTCCTCAAGACTAAAGAACTGAAGATGTCAGATTAGGCTAAATAGATCCCCTGAGCAATTCAATTCTGATAGTTTTCCTTTTTTTTTCATCCTTCTATTCTTCTCCTTATTTCAAATTTCCATAATTAAAGTGTACACTTTATGCTACTATGTGAAGGCGGCTTTCACTACAATGAATGTATCGCATTTTTGATAGAAACTGGTCATCCCTTAAAAAATTTTTGGACCCAGATCTGGTTCCTACTGTCCAGTTTCAAAGTGCCATGATTGTACACTAGTAATCAGTAAAAATGTACAGCATCTTACAAATGGAGAATAATTCAAAAAATTGTTTGCTGTGTACCCGTCATCTGCGAGGTAATTCAATATGCTCATTTTTAAATTTTATCTGACTGCTTAGTTCTAGTTTTAACTCTCAGCCATCGTAGGCTAAAAACTGTAGAAAAATGTCACCCTTCCTGGGGATTTTAGAAAAACATAACTCAAAAACATTCTCAAAACCCAACAAAGTATAGCGCTACAATAATAAGAGTTCTGATCGAATTTGTTTATGCTAGCAGTTTCAAACGAACTCCGGATTTGAAGTACGTAAATGGCTCTGCAAAAATCGACTTTGCCATTCAAACCTGGTTTTTGTTGTTAATGATAAAGATTTCAACTTTCGGTTATGCTGCGGTTTTTTAAAGCATTGATCACTTTTGAAACATAGATGAAGTTCACGGGTTGTGCAAATCCTCCTATTTGGCAAGAAGTGCATAAGATACACACTTCCAAGAACTATTTGCACAGTCTATCACATCAGCCATGGAAGCAGGATATGTATTTTGACGGTTATATAATTCTAGATTATGCAGGGGCTTTCGGAGATTATCATTTCACTGTAAAAGCTACTTCGTGTACCAATAAGATTTTCTTTACTAGTATATGCCATTACTCACCCTAATTCTTGGTTGTGACAGTACAAGGTATTTTGTGCTACTGGTTTCAACTTTTGAGACGTTTAGTTTCAATTCTCTGCACAAACCATAGTCAGTAAAATTACAAGGAAATCAATATTTTCCACTTGTGCAACCTAGGCAGACACAGTTCACGAGGAACAAGTATACAGAGGAAGAAATTTTGGATCTCTAACTCTAATTTGGTCCAACCTAGCCATGCCTTGCCAGAAAATTTGTGAGAGCCCCACATTCTCCGCATCTCTCCAACTCTGAAACGTTTTCTCTATTCAACTACGCAATCTGCGAGTTACTGTAGGCATTTTTAAACAGATTACGCAATCTGGAATGTAATTGGTATTAAAATAGGATCGTACACTATTGTCTGTCGAAGTATTGTTGCTAGCATTCATTACTGTGCCCTTGAATTTCGACTCGTAGTCATAGCTTGACAAGACGAGTTGAAAAGGTTTATTACCGTTAAGCTTCCTTCGTTATTGCTAAGCTTAGTGAAGTTGGGATTGTCTTATGCGCTCTTTGAGAGAAAGTATCAATGTTTGCACCAAATTGAAAAACCGTAACCTCCTTTTATCTGCATAGATGGATTTGGCATGAATTGTATTGGGAAGAGCCTTTTTTACTGACAGCTTGACTGCTTTTTGCTGAAGACAAGTTCCAGCTTTGGAAATAGAGGAAGCATAATAATTGAGGTTTTAAACAAGCTTCATATGAAAATGTTACGACAAGCACTGCACTCATGAACTTTCTATAGCTTCTTTCTCTAAGTGCGCAGCATTTTGTGGTCAGGAAGAGTTATGATTTTTGCGAAACATACGAAAAGGCGGACTTATGTACGTACTAGCAGCCCTAAAAACTACTTTTAGTAGTTTTTACATGTCTTAGATATAGATAGAAATAATAAAGAGTGATTGAAGCGAATTGCAGTATATCCAAGTTGAGACCAACTCTACAAAACTGTATTCATAGGTCCGTTCATTGCATAGCACAGACATTCGAAAGATGTCAAGTAACTAATTTGGGATGCCCTTAAATATTCAACTACGCATTGTCGCTACCTTACCAAAGGATTATAGAGAATACGCAATATGTTTTTCATTCACAAGCTAATTTCGAAGCTTACCTTCTAGGCCGCTTTTTATTTTCTCTCGATGATGTTGACCAATTCCAAAATGATGTCTTCACACAAAAGCGCTCGTTGATGCTATGATCGCAACATTTATTCCATCTGAAATTTTTGCTGAGTTATGTTCAGCACAATCTTCTCGATATTGTTTGTTCCTTCTCTTATGGTACAAGCTTTGTGAATCATAGCATAGAGAGTATTCATGAACAAAGCGATAGCTAGGATCTGTTTTTGCTTCTCATATCATGATGTTCAGCATCGCCTAAATTGCAGTTTGTATTAGACTGTGAAAATTCTGTTGTTTCAATTTTTTTAATCCTCACTTGCATTGTTTTAGTCCCACTAGAAACATAGTACCTTTTTAGAATGCGTTTCTGGGAGTTTTATTGAGCATTAGTGGATATAAAAATAGAAGATGTGGTACTCAACCTTTAATTTCACGCTATGTCGCCAAAAATACGGTGCATAAAAAATTCAAAACCATAAGTAATTTGAGTAATTTTATAATCCACTATTGCAAATGAGATTTGATGCTCATAAATCTCTGTGAGATGTTACAACTTTGTTATAACTTTTTAGTTCACAATACTACTTGGGAGTGAATGATATGATATGATATGAAATAGATATGATATGATATGAAATTGATAATTGTTTCGAATTCCTTAATCATTACTCTTCATAGAAACCCGAGATGAACGAAGTCTTCTTACCTAGAAAGGGTACAGGTCGACCATAACAATTACGAACTTATGTTCCAGAATTTTTCTGCAACATGTCAGATTTTTGGCAATCAACTTGGAATGATTGAGGCTTACGTCTTCTTCTCACTTTTTGTCTGCAGGCTCTGTTGAAAGTTGCCAAGACGCAGATGCAAAGAAAGAGTTTTCTTTATAACAAAAATCACAGCAAAATAAATTCGTGCAGGTAACCCAAGTTACGATTTATTGAGAACTAAGCACTGAATCAGTATCTCAAAGGTGCTAGGTTTGCAGGCGCGCTCGCTTCGGGACCCGCTCATTCGCCCGCTATCTGATGATTTTCGAATGCACCTTACGATTCTTTATGTATTAGATTAAATTTAGAACTTTTGGGGCGATTAAAAAGCGCTGGGGGTGTCGTAGCGAGCTCTATCATGTACAAGAGAAAGGCATTCCTTAATTCTTTTTATTTTGCTATTTTTTCAAATTGCAACATTGTTAAAAATTTCTGCTGCATATTGTATATCGTAATACCGTGAACCTACTCACCTTAGGGTCATCCTCTCTTGTTGATTTGCGAAGGTTTGGCGAGCGGGGGTGAGAACGATTAGGTATGTGATTGCCTCAGAAGAGCTGCCGCGAAGCAGTGGCAAGAATATGATCATTCATACAACATTTGCTCTTCGTATGTTTATCATGAGCTACATCATGCTTCTGGAATGCTTTTATGAAAATTGCCATCAGTCGAAACTATTACACTTTGTCTTGAGCTTCTCTAGCAACTTTACTGGTTCTTCATGTTTCATATTCCTTTTTAATACAGTTGAATTGTAGAAAACTGATACAAAAAAGTGAATTCTTATACTATATAGTATCTACTCTCGATAACGCTACATGTATAGAATACCTAGAATCGAGTGTTATTCAAATTTTCGTCCAGGCTCAAGCCTGTCTTACCTTTTGAGAATTTGACATAAACTATCGTGATGATTGATTGATGGAATATTGTTCAACAAGATTGTTTCAGCTGAATCCAGATTCTTCATTCGGACAACTTTTCCTCATTATGAACTATTATGTCCAACAGTTTTTGTTTGGAAAAAATGTGGAATACACTTTGCAAAAAATGGATTTCGGTTGTAAACTTTGGATGAATACATACAACAATAATTTGAAATGCTTTCGTTGACTGTCTAGATGCGGTACGCCTTGTTTGCAATAAATAAAAATCATATGAATAATTCATACCTTTCAATTCAACAATGATTTATTCGTTATTATTAACTAGTTTATATGATGAAAAGACTTCATCGTCTCTTTGCAATGATCTGCATCACTCAGAAGGAAAAATCTCTTTCAAAATTCAATCTGAAATAGATTCTACAAATATTCTATTGTCCTTAGAACCTCTGCAGGCAGCACCCGAGAGGGAGCTGCTCAGACTGTTTTTTGGTGAATATGATGTTCTTGACGAGGACATAGAGTAAGCCGCACGTTGTCATGTTGTCAAGGCTAACAAATATATTGAAAATAGCAATCGTTTTGGCTGGAGAGGAATCTTCTACTTGTATCAAATGGTCGAGAGAACTAAAACATCTTCGACATAGTTACTGATGTTTATAGAAGAAAATTTTACTTAGTCGGTCTAGGTAACGTGTTGAAGGAAACGTAGTAGAAGTCTTTTAAAGGGCGTCAATTTTGGGAAAAACATTGCTAATATGGGTGATGATTGCATTGAAATAAATTGGCAAAAGTATTAGGATGATGCAGAATTAATAATTGCATATAGGCTGCTTAATACAGGGTGTCCGTAAAGTATGTATACACTGTTTGATCGTAAATATCTCTCTTTCCAAGAAGTCTTTTGCCTTGCTTCAGGTACCGTTTTGTAGAGCTGGCTTCAACTTAGATTTACAGTATAAAACGCACCCATCTCTCTTCATTACTGTAGGATTACGATAGAAACTTCGAAGAGGATTTTGAGCCATGAAAGGCCATATTTTGCCTCACAAAGGAAACAAAACGGCCTGAAAACTTTTACACTAGGCTAATTAGAGTTGTTGATTCTAACCGTAAAGTTTCCAACTTGTTATGATGCTTCATTGAAGAGTTATGCCGGGTAAGAGATAGCGGCCATTTTTTCAATGTTCCTAAAAAGTGCGGTTACACCGTTTAGAAAGCTTCGCAATCTTGCGAATAGTTGAGTATTGAATTCAGCGTAAATAAAAACCCTATTACACAAGTTTTCACATTATTTGAAAAATTTTGAGACGGCAGCTTTTTTCCATATTGACACCATATGTTTCAAGTTTCTACCGTAATCCTACAGTAATGAAGAGCGATCGGTGATTTGCTCCATACTGTAAATCTAAGTTGAAGCAAGCTCTACAAAACGTTACCTGAAGCAAGGCAAAAGACTTGTTGGGAAGAAAGATATCAACGATCAAACAGTGTATACATACTTTACGGACACCCTGTATTATAGAAATGCCCAGAAAGTGATATTTCGATTTTTGGCCACCAAGATTGCTAAAACGTCTGATAAAATTCAAATTTGTTTTTGGTCTTGGTTTTATATCATACTCTTTTTGACTAAGAGAAGTTGGCGATTAGATGTCTCTGCGAATAATTACGAATTTCAATTAATTAATTGTTTATAAGTATTGCTTTTGACACACACAACAAAGAGCATATAGTGTAAGTTGTTAAGTTTGCTCAAGCACTTTTAACTATTTTTTTCTGTTTTTTGGTGCAAGAATTATGCATCAACTTAGTAGTCGGAATTTAACTAAAAATATTTGCTTGTACAATCAAATGTGACGGTTATTTAAAAAGGAAACATTGAACACGCATGAAGAGAGGCATCTTTTGACTGCGAGAGCCGAAACCGGTCAGATGCCATACAATGTGAATCATTCTATCACCTTTACGAAGTGGAACATCTATTCATATCATTCAATAGGAGTCACACGCAGATCATTGCAGACATATTTAACCATTTTCTTGCTTGGAAATATTTTCTCTTTTTATGTTGCATTTGTGCAAAACCCACTGAGGAATTTTTTATTTTTACGTGGTGTCGATTTCAGTGCTTTCGGAAGAGGAAGAAGAATTGTATCAAAGTCATTGTCTCTTTCTATTATTTCTATTACTTAGATGTCATAAGATCAAAAGAGTCGAAGCATCAACTCTAGAAGACATCAATGCATATCTTTTATGAAAAATCGAATCTATGCACTCAAAAATCGATACTTTCTAATCACGATTTTCTAACGAATTTCTCAAGTAATCTCGTAAAAACTCTCAGTTTCCACAGGAGTTTTCAAACTTACTTTCGCGCCAATTCCAAAAGAAAAATTTTTTCCATTATGCCCTCGCCAGCGTGCGTCATACATTCCCGCATATAAAAAAGATAAGAAGGCGTAGGATTTCTCAAAATCTTTCTGCCATACATAGAGAGCAAAATGTTTTTGTGCGATTCAAATTCACAACAAATCTAGATTTTTTCTATTATAGATGCGTGCTCTGTGGTGATGGCATTTTGTCGAGTGTAGAAACAGAGCAATACGCAAGGCCTGGAGCTGTCAAACGAACACTTGTGCATTTCATTGCAAAAGAAGAAGCGGTGAACATTGCCTGTAATATTCGTGTACTAAACTGTTACGGGTGCGCTGAGGTCAGTTACCGTACTTCTGGCTTGAGCTCGACCTTGTTACGTGTTTGAAAATTTTCTTGTGTTTTCTTTCAGAGATCCTGCGAAAGGCATCCGGCCTTGATGTATCCAGCGGTTACGCATTCATTAGTCTATCCTATGGTTGCTCCAAGAGGATCGTCATTCCCTCTATGGCTACTGATTCTTCTGATTCTTCTACTTCTTCTAGCTCTTCTTGCCTGTTGTCTAATTCCATTCCTTTTATTGCGTCGACGTCGAAAAGCAGTCACGTAAGTCTCAAAACTTTTCGAAAAATCAGCTGAAAATTATCGAGAGCTCTTTCGCGATTCTAATCTTCCAGAAGTGCTGAAGAGAAAAGCGGGGAAGTGGGTGAAGCTCCTTTTAGGACTGTTGAAGAGAAAAGTAGAGGAGTTGGTGTTGGCACCGAAACTGCGATTTTGAAAGATACCGCTGTCGGTTGCAAGAACGTCCACCGTTCATCGCTTGATGCTGAAGCTTTTCATCATATTACTCCGGCGGTAACTTAAAATTTTTTCTAAGACACCAAATAAAAATTAGTTAAAGGTCGCAGTTGGGGATCGTGATCGTGAACCTATAACCACAACAACAGAGATGTTTGCTGCGGAGGAGAGGCGAGTGCGGTGAGTAAAAAATAGCAGAAGGATATTTACCAGATGAAAAAATTTTTTTGAAGCGTGACACCGATGGAAGAAGACAGAGGTGGTTACTATGGTAGAGAAAGAGAACGAGAAAGAGAACGAGAAAGAGAAAGAGAAAGAGAGGCTGAAGCTGGTTTCTATGGAACAAGAGAAAGAGCAAGATCAACGGAGGCAGAAGGCTTCTATGGTACCAGAGAAAGAGCTAGATCATCTGATGCAGAATCTGGATTCTACGGATCAAGAGAAAGAGCACGTGTCACTGAGGAAGAAGAATCGTGAGTGTTTTTTAGTTTAGACTAAATAATACAAATCTTTTTGCCCGTTAGAAGTAGTTTCATAGATTTAATAATTGTTATAGTGTTCTTGGATTGTCGACAACGTTTGCGCGTAAAATGGGGCGCGAAAAGCGAATGCAGAGTTCTACACACAATCGTTGTCGGCGTCGCAAGGGCCTATATTCAAAATGCACTGTTTCGTTTGCTAGCATTGCACGTAACCATGCACGAAAGAAAGATAGAGTAGTAACATCCAGAAGAGCTGCACAACTTCGCGAAAGTTCCGCCGCTGCCGACAGATCCAGCTATAGAAATTACGCTTATCAACGAGATGTAGGAGGTGTCGCACCCGTTGAAGGCTTCGACGAAGTAGAGACGAGGTTCTATCATTTGAAAGACATATAAGCATTTCTTACCAAAATTTCTAACATAGGGAGTCATTTGTAGTTATAAGCAAGACTAACATTTGCCAAGGCGAAGCATTAGGTCGTTCCATAAGTTCGTAGCGTTTTTTAGAACTAAATAGATCAGTTTTCAGTAAATATCGGTAAACATATTCCTCGATATAGCTCAGGGCCCAAGTTCTTAAAAAGCAAACAACGGCTCTTACGAAAGTTATCTAATCGTCGTTTTGCCGATCGAGTCATGCGCCATAAGGTTCGCGAGAGAACGGACGAAGAGTACAGAGCACACTGGATACTGAAGCAATTTACAGTAAATCCTGCAAGACGGTTTTGACGTCGTTTGCCGTATGGGTCATGCTTCGTCATGCAGAGAAACTCAGTGGATGTTTCTACTGGGCTTTTTCTGCGATATGGCCTCGTTTAGAAGGTGCAGGGTTGCACAAGGTATGGTCGCCGTCTTCTTGTCCAGCATATTTCAGTGCAGGGCATCCTGCCCGTCCCTCGAAAGGACTTGTTCGGGAATCCCCTGATTAACCCATGATCTCTTCGAACAAACGCCATTCTTCATGGCTGATTAACCCAAGATCTCTTCGAGCAAACACCATTTTTCATGATCGCTTGTAAAGTATGCAAAAAACGCCTGCTTTTATACGCAAAAAATTATAATGTGCTGAAATAGCATCTTTTTGCCTTTTAAAAGTTCTATATTTGGAAGCTTGAAAATCGGAGTAGATCACCCTTTCAGTGAAATCAGTCAGCATGATTCAAAGAGCATGATCAGCACTTTCCGATGATATATGCATCTCGCCGCAATCAACCGTTCCTCAAGGAAGTTAGGACGAAAATGAAGCGCTACGAACTATGGAACGACTTAATAGATTGGTATGAATGTGGAAAGTACTATGTGCACGCTGGAAAATTTAGGGAGAGAAGGTACTGCATGAGCGACGATGACGATTATGAATTGGTCGAAAAAGATGTGAAGAGAACGCACACATCTAGGTAAGTATGTATTAGTAAAATTGAGCTAACGCTTGGTTTCTTATCTTTGTAATTTATTAACCCAAAAAATTATCAACGAAGAAATCTTTGAAGGTTCATGCAGGAGACTCGTCAGATCAACGAGGATGATGGCGGCTCGATTGGAGAACGATATCGAGAGGAAGACGTTCATCACGCCGTTTATTCGCAAAGCTTACCGGTCTAGGAAGGAGTGAGGACAAAGTACTGAACTTGTGAGAACAAATTTGGAACCAATGCTTCTCCACTTATTGTCAGTACATTAAACAGCTGTCTTCGCCTCTATCCGAACATAGTGCTTTCTATTTTCTTATTTGTATATATGTATGCATACTAGTGTATGCTTGAATTATCGTGCCACATGTGTCTTTCTCGATGAGTAAGATCTAGTCACACAGAGTTCTGCCGAAGTTTATTACCAGAATGACCGCTTTCTCTTGTTTGCATATTTTATCAAATAAATGTCGATGATTTGGTATAATTATATACATCTGATACAATTATTTGCTAGCTCTTTCTAATTGACTTTGGCGAACCTTTCGTTGATGAATTGAGAGGATGGCGGTTACTTAGATTTACAATGTAAACGAACTATCCACTACTTTTTGGTTCATTAGGCTGTTTGTTTCGTACTTCTACCGTTTTCACTTCTCCAGGACACATTCTTTGCTCAAAAAGAAAGCTTCGCACTATGTTTCAATGGAGCCAATACAGCTCGTAAAGGTGATACCTTAAAGCTCGCAGCTTTCTTCCATATAATGTTCAAAGCAATTTAAAAACATACGAACACAAAGAAAATATTAGGTCGTCCGGAAACTAATGCAGGTTTCTGCAAATGCAATTTCAAAAGGATCGTTTTTATGTATATGTGCATCTTTCGACCAACTTCACATACCATAAGAAACCCCTCTTCATGCTCTTTCTTATGTATGTTACTTCTACGATCATCTCGCTTGTTCAAAGTCTACAACTATCCGAAGATGAAGCTTCAGATCACAAAATTTACCTTTTGCACCATTCTGGCTTGAACTTATTCGACAAGAAGGGTATTTCCATGATAATAGCTGAAGCAAGATATTGAGTGACACTTTCTTAAAACTATTGTGAGAGCAGAGAAATTTAGGCTTTATCATGGATAATTGTCGCGGCGACTCCATGGCGTAGAAAACTTTTCTAAAGAAAGCAACCGTGAAAGTCTGTCTTCTTGCTTGAAGAGTGAGGCCAGTGCCGTCAGATATTATTTCAACTGGTACCTCTTAGGCTTTATTTTTGTTGAGTTAATAAAAAAATCAAATTATCGGAGATCTCGTCCGCGGAGGAAATATCTAAAAAATGGAAAATTTTGATTCCGTAATTTTTCTTTCGCAGAAAATTCCTTTAAAAATTTCTGCATAGCTATATATGTAGTACTGGTCTGTAACTATAAGCTGCAGAAGTTTCTCGCTGAACACTCATATCCGATAGGAGTTTACAATTTGCCAAATATGACCTTAATAAAGAAAAACCTTCCTACTTTCTGGCTTCCAGTAATTTGCTTGTTTTATACAGAAATAATCGGAAATGCTTTAGATAGACAAAGACTTGCTGACCATAATAGTTTTTAAGCCATTTCAAAATATGCAATTTCAAAGGAGTTATGACGCTTTGAAGTGAGAATTTGAAAAACCTGCATTAATTTCCGGACATCCTAATATATGAAAAATGTATCTTTGTCCAAGAAGAACGTTGCGAACATCCTATACAGGGTGTCTCAAAAAATGTGCCTACTGTTTGATTGTTGATAACTCTGTTGCCATTGAGTCTTTCGAGAAGTTGTACCGTTTGTAGAGAGCTTGACTTAGATTTATAGTGTAAAGTAAATTACCGTTACTTCATTACTGTAGGAATACGGTAATGACTTTCAAGAGGGTTTTGCGTCATTGAGGGTCATATTTAGACATAAAAGCTGAAAACTTTGCAGTAGTTGAAAATAGCTGACAAATATATAACTCGTACTCCACCGTAACGCTTTCCACAAAGTTACGCCAGATATAACGTAGCGACCGATTTCTGATATCCGCCAAAGTTCGGTTAAAACATTCAAAAGTTCTGCGAACACGCAAAAAGTTATGTACGAAATCAGTATGCATGAAATACCTTATTACACAAAATGAAGTCTTCCAAAATACCAAATTCAGCAAAAAACCAAAAAATCGACGTCTTCCATCTTTGGTTCACTTTTGCCTTGCATGTACATATATTGTAGGATTGGAGGATTAAAAGCATAAGAAAGCCCTAAGATTTTTCGTGGCGGACAAGCCATTTTTTCTCGATTTTTCGAGCATTTACCTTGAATTTGGCTTCAAACCTAACTTACGTAAAACAAAGTTTGTGCGAATATTCGCGCCCTTTGTAAACTTGCTTTATTATTGAAAGGTGAACTTTGAATTCTGGATAATCATGAGACAACCTTATAGATTTACGACAAAACTCCACCATACTATTGCTATGAAGATTCGCTTCTGTCTCAGAAGGCTTCTAAAATCCTGAAAACCTGGTGGAACTTTGTGATAGTAGTTTGAAAGTGCAACTTTATTTGGTAACTATTGTTTCATAAACTCCGTTATGGGTCGAGCGATTCAAATGGAACTTTGCAGCACACTTGTTTCCGACGAGAGTATAGGCTGCTTTTTGTGATGATTCGCTGAGCATTTCTATCGATTTATTGATTTTTATAACACCTTGCGAAATGTTTCTATTCCCTAACAAGCCGTTTACACGCCTTAATGAAGTCTTTCGAAAGGATTTAGGCACCTTTTTGTAGAGCTGGTTTCAACTTAGATTTTCAGTATAAAATGAATCACCCGTTTTTCTTCGTTACTGAAGGATTACGCTAGAAACTTTAAAGAGGGTTTTGAGTCATGAAAGGCCACATCTCGCCTCAGAAAGGAAACAAAACAGCTCGAAAACTTTCATACTGGGCTAATTAGAGTTGCTAATTCTAAATATGTAGTTTGCAAGTTATAATAATGCTTCATCAAAAAGTTATGGGTGTTAAAAAGTAGCGGTCTTTCCAACTTTCCTTAAAAGTGGGGTTACACCGTTTGAGCTTCGCGACCTTGAACGTAGTTGAGTATTGAACTCAGTATCAATGATAATCTTATTACACAAATTTTCACAATTTTTTGAAAACTTTTAAAACGGCATCTTTTTTCACACTGACACCATTTGAAGTTCTTACTGTAATCCTACAGTTATGAAGAGCGACCGGTGATTCGCTCTATACCGTAACTCTAAGAGGGACAACCTAGTAATAATTTGGGTCTTAAATAATTCTGATTGTTCTCTACAACATTTAAATAAATGAAAAATCTCTGAATTGGTATCATTGGGAAGTGTAATTCGTGAAAATTAGATGTTTAACCTTGCTTGAGCAGTAGCGACAATGGTGCAGGAAAGTGGAAGACTCAATTTTTTGAGCAGTTATCGAATGCAACAAAAAACAGATTTATGTGTAAAAAGTACACGAAGTCAATTCTTCCACCTTTATCTGCTTCCTGTTCCTTCATGAGCAATTATATCTTCAAAATCAATCCTGCAACTACGTCATGTCACACAAATTTGAACGTATTCTTCGCCAATTCTTAATAAACACTGCTTCTTTTTAGGAAATGTCTTCAAGTTGTGTTCTGTGAATTCAATGCGCTTCTGGGTTTCAGATTATACGCGTACGGCATACCACTCAAATGTAAGAAAAAATTTGTAAATTTTTGGAAGAAAGGGAAGCAACTCTTATATCATTTTAACATAGCGGGGAATACAGAAACAGAAGCATATCTGATTTGTCATTGTGCTTCTTTTTACGTTTGTCCGCGAAGATTTCAACTAATAACTTGGCGCATTCTGGACAAGTGGTGACTGTATTCAACTCGAAAATGTGTAAGCATTATGTATCCAAACAAATGCGTCCTGCTTATGCACGGTCTGCTTATCCAAAAAATCCATGTCAAATAGAGTCAGCCATAAGGAAAAAATATTATTTTTCACGGAAACGGCATCGCAAATCCCCTCTGCCTTCGTCTATTGTACACGCGGTGAAACTGGAAGCTCTACGAATGGAAAAAATTTCTTTTGCTACCGAAAAATGATCTGGTATGCGCTTTCCCAACTTATCATTAGGTTGGAAGATAAGTCTTCCATCAAAATAAGTACAAATTTTCATATTTCTTCTGTATCCCTGACAGAGCATAGCCAGCTCTGCAAGGTTTCGCTCAGAGGTTTGCCAAATTGATCCACGCAAAGCCTGAAGCCAAAAATTTCTAAAAAATCTATGTGCCGGTAAGATCGAAGAAAAACGGAAAAATGCAAATGCATTAAGAAAACCTTCTGGAAAGCAAGAAAATCTATAAAATAACATCCATAATCTTTCAGCTTTTTTCAAAGTTGGTTTAAGACAGAAACTGAATTTTTGCAATTTGGCATGAAAAATTTGGGCAAGGATAGCATTTCTCGTGTACTAACTCTTGAAGAAGGCTAGCAATCCAGGGTTCATAGGTCTTGTAGTATACAACTGCTAGTATAAGAACAGCTCAGCACTGCTTTGGCAAATACACGGTATTTCATTTCTCTACATCTAACCGAGAGAATGCGTGAGCAAATAAGCATTTTCATAGGATTATCTTAAAAGCAGTTGCAACTTTTCTCGATTTCCTCAATTTTGGCTCGTGGATTTACTAGTTTTTACATATTTCGCGTAAATTCAAGAGTTTTTATGCAAAGTTCTGAGCGTTACCTTGCTAAGCTAGCTTTGCTCCATTAAGAGATAAATCAGAACTTATTCAGGTTAAAGAAGAAGTATGAATTATTAGTATGTGACTTTGGTGCAAGGCTTACGTATGTAATAACAAGTTGAGAAAGCGCATGTAAGATCATTTTTTTGGCGAAATAACGAGATCTTTCCCGTTCAAGGCGTTTCCTGTTTCACCGCGTAAATAACTGACGTACGCGGATGGAGCCCACGTTTTCTTTTCGCCGTGAGAAAAAAAAGTACAATTTTTATATGTGACTGACTTCAATAAAAATGCATATTATTCTGCGTACATAATGCTCTAAGTTGGATATAGTCAGCTTTTTTTTCAGAATGCGCCAAATTATTGGATGCAAATTACTGCGGACAAACGTAAAAGAAAGGCTTAACTGGAAAAAAGCATACTTTTGCCTTTGTCTTTCTCACTTTGGTAAACTGATCCAATCCAACTGATCTAAACTTGCCTCCCAAAACTCTACAGATTTACTCATACACTTGCTGAGTGGTATGCCGAATGTGTGCAATCTGACACTACTGGTTCTAAAACTGAGATCGACCGAAGCTGGTGCAAAAGCAGGAAAGCCATCTTATAAAGCTTGTTTTGCTCTATCGAATAGTATCCTGATTCTATTCAAGTAAGACCTCTATGACTTATCACAGCAAAAACTCAAAAATGAAAAGACTTATGGGACAAGCTAATAATGTGGCTAATACTAGGTTGTCCCACAAGTCTTTTTGTGTTCGGACCTTCAATTAGATATTAAGCGGTATACAAGAAAGGTTTGTATACTGAGGGGCTCTTGCCACCGCTGTAGATTTTTTTGTGACTAATTTGGAGTTGTTAGAATAATTCTATGTGGGTCTCAATTTTTCCTCGTTGTAGTACTTTTGTCCTGCTATACCCTTTCAAAACAACAGCAGATGTAGTAAGCTTACTTAAGCGAGACTCTAAGCAAAATTTTCGGTGGCATGACGGATCCTTTTCGTGGAAAAGGATTTATTTGAGGACTGAGATCCTCGAATACACACTTTCGAATCCGTAGAGCTCGTTGATCGCTCTGATGAAATTGGAAAGTTGGAGCATTACCATAGAGATTTTTTACGAAGCTGTTTCCAAACATTTGAAAAAAACTATCTGCTTTATGTCAAATCAGTAGCTTCGCACTTCCTACCATGCAAAAAAGCAATACTAAGTTGGCCCTGAAGTGGCTTATATCTTTATTTAACGTGGTCGCAATTGATTCACGGAGGTCCATGCAAAACTAAGAGCAAAAAAGTAGAGTACTTAACAATTATTGACCAAGAAACACGAAGGGATAGTTCTTTATGGTAATATACCAACTTTTCACATTGATTAGCAATCGTAGCTCCAGGAAACAAAAGCAGCAATTTCTTATGCAGCATTAGATTTCCGTAGTTTTCTCTATTTTCAAATCATATTCCTCATTTCCGTTCGCCGCGCAATTTACCCACTGTTGCACAGGCCAATACTTGCTCGCTGTAAGTGCGCTTACAAGAAGAGCGGTGCTAGCGAATTCTAATAAATTAAATTAGTGTCAAGTCAGTATAGTCCATCTTCATCTGCGTCAACTTGCATATGCCTGTCCACAGCAGCAAGCAATGGTAGGAATTTCCTTTATATAATTTATTGAATGGAGGCGGTCACTTTGGTCTCGGCATACAAATCGTCATGTCCTCATTCCGCCCCCGTATTCTATTCTTGTACTCTTTTTTACCCTTCTTCTTCTCCTGCGATACACTCAATAGGGCCTATTGAGTGAATTTTAAGTTCTTTTGTGAAACATTATAGAACTCTCTGCCTCTCCTGTACTTCTCTATGTTGCCCCTAGGATGTTACCTAAACGACACTAAGTAATTTTTTGTTGCCAAGATGGATATGTGCATCACCCTTCTGCAAATTTTCGTCTTTCGAAGTAAGTGATAATCTTTCGGCTGTGCACCTGTCGCACCTCTCCGAGTTCTCCTTAAAATCATTAAACTCCTAAATTTTGACCGTAGCCACTTTGTGTATGACACGTGCGTTATTGCTATTGGAAAAAGATTCAGCTTTTCGACCTTTTTTCTGCTCTGCCGAACCCAAACGTTTGTAAACCGTGCACTGTTATTTAAAATGTACCTCGTACCATTATGCATGATAATTTACATTTATCAGAAATTTATACATGCGTGTGATCAGGAATTATATCAAAATCGATTCACCATCCCGAAAATACAAGCCACACAAATTAAAAAACACCACTTCCTTCTTTAAAAAAAAGTTTCGAGTATAGTATTTTTTGTTAAATCGAAGCGCTTCGGTGTCAGATTGCACACATTCGGCAGACCACTCAGCAAGTGTAGGAGTAAATTTGTAGAGTTTTGGGAGGCAAGTTTAGATCTTTTGGATCAGTTTACCAAAGTGGGGAAGACAAAGGCAAAAATATGCTTGATTTCCAGTGAAGCCTTTGTCCGCAATGATTTGCATCCAATAATTTGGCGCATTCTGAAAAAGTGCTGACTATATCCAACTTAGAAATGTTCACGCATTATCTATCCAGAATAACATGCATTATTATTGAGGCCAGTGACGTATGAAATTTACATTTTTTTGTTTCCCGTGGCACGATCGTGGGTACCGCCCGCGTTCGTCAGTCAAACACGCGATGAAACAGGAAACGCCTTGAACGTAAAAGATCTCGTTATTTCACCAAAAAATTGATCTTGCATGCGCTTTCTCAACTTGTTATCATATATTAGGTCGGTGCAAAAGTTTTGTCAGTTTCTTCAATCCATCGGCAATCACGCTAGAATGAAGACAAACAAAGACTTCAAAATGTTTCCGATGCAGAATTTCTTCCTCTTTCTAGCTGCTAAACTCCCATTGTGCTTCGTTGCAAGAATAACGAGATATTTGCTGCAAATTACAAACACTTGTTTTTACCATATCCAACTTTCGCTAATTTTCGAAATTTTTGTATGAGATTTTCGAAGGAGCCCTGATAGCCAGCAGATTGGGCAAACCTTTTGCCAACTTATGCAATTTTTCCTTTTTATCATCTGCTTTTCCAAATTTTTGCCAAGTAATTTCCTAAAAGTCTAGTGTTTTGGAAAAATTGCATAACCTGTTATTGCACCAAACACTGCAAAACCTACAGAAAACTGAGGTTTCAGCACATGATTATTTCTACCGCTACCATTACAAATTAAATGAGCGATTTTCGCTTCAAATTATGAAGATTTTGAAACATAGGGTACGCCTGTGCGCACTCCTGAAATTAAGAAATACTGCGATTTTCCCCCACAAATTTCGCCTGTCTCGGCAAAAAAAGGCAAGTATTAGAAAGGGGAGAAAAATCTGCATCGAACGGTGACTAAAGTGTTTATCATTTTATGTTCTACGAGGTCAAAATAGGCTGAATGTATAACTTGGTCACTTCAAAAAATAAATCGTAGAAATTCTAAAAGACAAGCTGTGGGGCTACAAAAAATTGCATCAGTTGGCAAAAGGTTAGCCCTATCTACTGATTATCAGGGCTCCTTCGAAAGTCCCATACAAAAATTTTGAAAATTAGCGAAATTTGGACATGGTAAAAACGAGTGGTTGTAATTTGCAGCAAATATCTCGTCACTCTCGCGATGAAACACAATGGGAATCCAGCAGCTGGAAAGAGAAAGAAATTCTGCATCGGACACATTTTGAAGTCTTTGTTTATCTTCATTCTAGCGTGATTGCCGATGGATTGAAAAAACTGACAAAACTTTCGGCCCCACCTAATACATTTAGAAGTATAGGAATGAAATACCATGTGTTTGCCAAAGCACTGCTGAGCTGTTCTTATATTAGCAGTTGTATCCATAATTTAAATACTTGATATTTTTGAGCAAAAATCGCTCATTTACTTCGTAAGACTAGTGGCAGTAATAATCTCATTTTAAAATTTAAAATTTTGAAAATTTTGAGGTGTTTGGAGCGTTCTGCAATTTTTCCAGATTTGGATGCTTTTCAAGTGTCTAATTGAAGCATCTGAAGAAGGAAAAATTTGTTCCTATTTGCTAAAGGTTCACCTTATTTGCTGGTTACTAAAGCTCTTTCAGACGTTTCAAACAAAACCTTCATAGATAGCATAAAAAGTATGAGGAAGAGGTCCTTAGAATTTTGGGACCAAAATTTAACTTTTATTGTCACCAAATAATTCTCTTAGATTGGCCTCAAAATAAGATCGTGCGGTGACAATAAAACGAAAAATCCAATCTCAAGAAGTCGAACAGAACGTCTGCTTCATCTTTTAGATCAAAAAGGTGTCTGAGCACGGGAATGGAATGGCTAGAAGAATGAAGGAGTGAAAAAGCTAATTGCATTACGAGGAAAATATGTGTTCTAGACACAACTTTCTGCTCTTTCTTTCACTAAAATGGTAATTATGATTACCATGAGCTTGACCAACTTGGATATGTTGCTTACTATGGAATCAACACGTGCACAGTTCTTGTTTTTCGGAGTCGATGCATTGGGTCCGTTCGCTTCTGTTACTGCGATTCAATATAAGGAGTTTTAGTGACATATATAGGTTGGCTAATCAATAAGTTCAGTCGCTTTTGCGGCCCTTACAAATGCTGCAGACAAATGTTTGCCAGTGTTTGGTATCTCTAAAAAGAGCATTTCAAATGGGAAACGGAGTATATATTCTGTTTGAGTAGAATATGTTTTCCAAGGAAGAATCCGCGAGGAAGTGAGAAACCCCAATTTTTTCATCGTGCGCAAATATGAGAAAATTTGGTTTTTTGAAAAAGACTTTCAAGTGACATTTCTAATTATCATTCCTATTCACTATGTAGGGAACTCCGTATTTAATTACCAAACTGCTGTTCTTTACATCCATTACATCATGAAAACGAAGCTTAAGAGGTCAAAGAATGAAGCCTCTGAAATTTAGGAACGTTAAGGGGTAAATGCCTGATGATACATAATCTTGAAAATTCGATATGTGATAGAGGAAGCTCTAAAATACTTTCTCACAAAGATTCGTGAATAGAAAACAGTATGAAATTTTCTTATAAGAATTAGGATGCCAAAACGAACTTTTTCAAAGCCAACCTGTATACAAGCTGACACCTATTCCTCGCAGCTTTTGAATTTTTTCGGCGAACCCTTTCCTGTTTTCTGCGTAATATTCAAACCTTTGGATTTCAACCATATTGTAGAAAGCTCAACATTCGAAATTGATTTTTAGTTATTGGGGAAGGCGCACGGTGAAAGTGTTATCAAAATTCTCAAAGTCTCAGTCATGTTCCGAAATTTCTATGAAAGGGCAACAAGGAGCTTTGTTGTTGATATTCGCCATTGTTTTCCTTCATCCAGCATCGATATTGCTATCACCCCCGGTTCAAGCTAAACATCGGCGTCATTTTCAAAGATTCCATCTATTCCATGATTTTAAAAATAAGACAGTGCTGATGAAATTGTGAGAATATCAAGATGTTGGCATTAACATGTAGCCAAACTAGCGTCATTTTTATGAAGGGTGGCAGAGTTCTTTGGAGTGCTTGCATATAAAAAGAAGGAGGGCAGTGAGCCAATAATCATGATGCTTTGGCTGAAATACTTTACAATCTTGGTAAGTTTCATCTTTCATCTATAATTCTGCGATCATCATCACTTTCCAGGTCCTCTTGATACTGTCAGCAGTGGTTGCGTTGGAGGAGGGTGAGTTCTACTCGGTTTGGACAAGGTCGCTAGGTCAGATAAGCCAAGTAAAGTAAAAGATAGGTTTAGAATATTTTGAGAGCCTGTCGCTTTTGCTTTCTGCATGATTTCAGCAGTGTCAAGTCAGTTACAAAACTTTAACACAATACCGCTCACATTTTTTGAAAAATAGACGCGAATGTATGGACATGTATGTACATGTATGGACATGTCCATACATGTATAAAAATCAAAAAATGTGAGCGGTATTGTACCTTACCTGCACCTAAGAAAGCTTGACCCATGACTGCGTATTCAAAGAGATGAGGATCTGAAAGGATGTGACAATGTTAGTGAATCTTATCGCAGTTTACTACAACTACTTGACATCCATTTGTTTTTCTACTTTCAATCTCTTTGAGGAGCGAATGCGAGAAAAAATAAGAAAGAGGCTGTGATTCTTGACACTGCTGCACTTCGTCTGCCCTGCTAGCTGTTGCACTGAGCATTCTTACAAGGAAGCCTTTTAGTCAAAGTGGCCTTTCCAAGGGGGAGACCCAAATTCCTTTGTAGTGTATCAAACGATGATTCATCTATCATCCGTTTTTGCTGAACAGCTCCCCGAAAGAAGCTGAGTGTGTGTAAATCTAAATTTCTCAAGTCTAGTGGCGTAAAATTAGAGAAAAGCTGTACAAAAACACATATGCGGATTCCAAAGCCTGTGTTTTCGTTGTAGCCAATTTACTTGATTAAATTTGATCACCTACTTTCAGTTTTTCTTGTACAGCTTTTCGCCAATTTTTTGCGACTTACAGCATTACGAATTTGGACTTTTTAACACTTTTGACTTCTTTCTGGAAGTTTTCCGCACGAAAGGAAAGCAGCTTTGAAATCAGCATTTACAAACGCGTCTAGATATAGATGTCATGTGGGAAGGCCACTTCGACTACAAAAGTTTTCCTTTAGCACCTTTTGACTGGATAGTAAACGAAACGTCTTACCACTTTCAGTCTGATTTCCGTCCAATCGATATTGTTATGTTATTTCAGAGCACTTGGATTTTTGATCCCTACAACGCGGCTAGGCAGCGCATCTAAAAGTTTTTGGTTGGGACGGGGAGTTGTACTTAGGGAAGGAGCAAGGATCCACTGGGATCCACCTAGTAATCCTTAGCTATTAGCCCTTGTCGTTTCATTGATTTATGTGGGGAAGTACCACCTCAAAAGCCATTTTTTTAAAGCAAATACCAAGGGACATATATTTCCAGCAGATGGGAAAGAGATATTGGGGTTGGATTCTGGAGACCTTATAAGTTATGATGTTGTAAATTACAGAGATGAAAGACTGTCGGGAAGCAAACAGTGGTCAACTGATTCCACATGAGAGCAATTGCCAGTACTTCTATCGATGCTCGAAGAATCAGTGGGAGGAGATGAGCTGCCCGCCATTAACAGTATTCAATCCAGACTTATTGCGTTGCGACCATCCGGCAAATGTGCCGCAATGTGCGAAACGTAGTTAAGCACAGAATCAGATAGCGTACTTCTTGATGTTAGAGTCATGCTAACCACTGATACAGACTTTAATTCCTGTGCTCGAAGTCGATGGGAACTGTGACACTTTGTGATTATTGCCTGTCATCTGTAATAATAATTGTTTACTTTCAATAATGCTGCTTTACTGTTTTATGTTCTTTCTTCAAGTAAATCAAATTTAAATAAAATTTTCCTATACTTTCTACTTGTGCCGCAACCACTTGCAGAACCTTGAAGTCTAACATGTCAGTGCAGAACACACGGTATGAGCCTCTCCCAGCACCCAGCGAACCTAATCGGAAACAACGATTGTCTTCTTGGTGACTCATCATCGTTAATTATGCGCTCAAAAAATGATTGCATCGAGTCCTCTAAGCTTGGATAAATCATCTCAAAAGTTTTTCTTTGCAAAATCGCTTGACTTGTGGCGACAGCCTGTATGTCAGTCACCCTTACTCATATCGGTTGCCCTCATAGTCAGGAGGCGTAAAAAACTAGTTAGAATGTTGCAAAGTTCGTAGAGGAATAACACTGCGAGTAGGCCTATAGTTTGAAAGATAATTATATTGAACCTAAGTAAAAAAGTACTCTGCGTTGATACCACTGCTT